CGGCTGGGCTCGGTGACTGACTGCCGCTCCCTCTTCCTCCTCCCTCCCTTTGCGTTCATAGGTGGCGATGGCGACGGGGCAGGTGCTGTTTCATCGGTTCTTCTATTCGAAGTCCTTCGTCAAGCACAGCTTCGAGGTGAGCGCGGCACGGCCTGGCGGGGAAGCCGGGGGGCGAGGCGGAAGATGGGAGGAGGAGCGCGCTAGGCGCTGTTCTGGGCGACCAGTGAATTTGGCCAGCCGCACGCGAAACAGGCTGCTCTCTTTGAGCCTTTAGGCCACGGGTTTTTTTAGCTGTGTAAATCTAGTCTTATCGGGATTAAAAGTAATTTTCTTATGGAAACGGGGCTTCCTTTCAGATTGTTGCTATGGCCTGCATCAATCTCGCATCCAAAATCGAAGAGGCTCCTCGTCGGATAAGGGACGTGATCAACGTGTTTCATCATTTGCGTCAGTTAAGAGCAAAAAGGTAAGATTAGCTTCGTTATGAACATAAGCATCTGTTGTCACTAATGTACACTGCAGGTTTTCAATTCACAGTATTTTTCCAGGCTAAGTTCAACGACCTAAAATTGAGAAGGGAGTGCTCATTGGCTGCTATGTAGGCAGTACAGTTCAATGCTGACTTCTTCTACCGTTACTTTTGATTACTTGGTAGACCCGTTTTCACTATTTATATAGCTACAAGTCATGAGTATTGGTTCTAATTTTATGTCCATGGTTGTAGTTTTAGGTCTATTGCTAATTGATTTTTGATGTCTTGTAGTTCTTGAAAGGTAGTCTTAGGTATGAGTAGCTAATTAGTGGGTTGCTGTCTATTCTCCAGACTTAACCATGTTCGGTAGTCTTAATGCTTTCCTCTTGTTAGTATGTAGTCGTCTAAATGTGGTTACGGTGCCAATAAAGTATCAGTTAACTAAAGGTGAAATCTGAACTTTTCCTAGTGATGACAGTATTGCCTTTTAGAAAAAACAACTTTAGAAAGTATCTAAAAAAAGTATGGTTTAGCGTACGGTGTTTGCAGTTTTAGTGACACCACTTCAGCAAGGAATGTGTAATTGAGTCTTGGAAGCTGAAGGCATCTTTAATTGTAAATAGTGAGACTTGTGTTTTTCATGCAGATCGGGATAATTGTCTGCTCGAGTTGTAGAGCTGTTCTCAGTTGTGAGTGCCTAATACTGCTTTTTTGTGTGTAAAACGATGTATGTTTTCATGTGTAAAGCGAATTGACTTGATTGGAAGGAACAAGGAATGGTTGAAGGGAAGGAGTTCTCTAAGTTGCTATTAAATGTAAAATTTTTTTTAAATCTGTCATGCAGCAGTATTGTAGTCTGTGAGATTGGAGACATCAGCTGTGCTGAAGTAGCTTTACTTTCAGTGGCTGATTACTTAAAGTGTAAGGTAATCCATAGTTACAAAAGGACTTTGTTTTTAGCTAGATTCTTAAATTCACGCTTTCGTTTATCTGCTCTGTATAACCAAGTTACCGCAGGAATTTAAACTTTAGTGTTGTGTAACCTTTTTGAGAAGTAGAGTAGAAATCCCTTAGAGAAACCAGCTGTTTCTTGGTGTATTTATCCTGGTTATGCTTCTGTTGCATCTAAAACTTCTGCTTTTACTTCCTTGTGCTTATGTTTTCCTAGTTTTAGATAAAAGAAGAATGATTTGGTGTTATACTTTGAAACTTAGCTTTGTTCCTGGTTTTTTAAAGTTGTTATCCCTGATGGCCCTGAGAGAGTTTTGTGAAGTTATGCTGAATGTGAATTTGGTGGTGTTGTTTCTTACCACAGTTAACGATAAGGGAGTCTGGTTATTGGAATTACTGAAGCTGGTTCAGTGATTCCTAATGTTTTGGCCTTGATCCAGACAGTGAAGGTTAATTAATCATATGCAGTGCTTTTCTTTGCAATGAGAATATAAATTAGTTGTTTCTTTGTACTGCGCGAAGGATCAGAGAAACTGAACTTAACCTGTGAACTTAAATCTTTCCAGCTAGCCTGTTCCAAATCAGAATGTCACTTGTGCATGTTACATGGTGTCTAAAATGCATCATGTCAGGAGAAATCGTGCACTTCTACCCATTATTTTCTGGAGAAATGGGTATTGTTGCTCTGAGATTCTGAGTGAATCAGCATGAAATTAATCTTTAAAATACTGAAGTCTGACATTCAGGCTTGCCTTTTTTTCTTTTTTTTAACAAGCAGGATGTAAACATTTTTCTGTACTTTTTACAAGATTACAATTACATAATCTGTACACGTTATTAACTTCAACTCTTTTTTCCCTTGCAACCGACTATACAGCGACCAGCTACATTTACCAAAGCCTGGGTGATGTGGAGTGGTACATAAAGATGAAGCTGTCGTCATGGCAACAGTGAGTGAAGTATCGAAAATCCCCAAGGAGAAGCCAGTGCTCTGAGAATAGGTCACTGGAATCGGGGGACTAACAGGTTGGCCGCTGGTGAACCATTTGGAAGAACTCCTGTATCTTGTTATAAGCTTTTTTCTTTGCTGTCCAGGTTTTTAGAATACTAGCTTAATCTTTTTTTACCTGAAGCTAACACTTAGGCTGTAGTTAGTTTCTCACACACAACCCAGAACTGAAACAATCAGTTAGGCTGCTGTACTTTCTTTTTGCCTCTAGTCTAGTATTTCTGTTAACTGAAGCTCTTAACCTGCATATGAAGTTTGAGTAGTTTGAGTAGGCTTGCTTTCTCTTAAACAGCTTTGGATTCTTAGTTCCACTTTCTGTATAATTGCAGTTTGAATTCATAGTAAAACACGCCTTCACAAGGATACGGAAGTCTTGAATTTGTAAAGCTATTTATATGAATTATTATGTAAGCAGTCCCTTATATGTACCTGTTTGCAGAACTGGGAATTGCATTGGAACTTTCTTTTTGTAAGACTTGTAGTCAACTTGAGTTACTGCTAGGTGGTATTTCTAATACTGAGAAGTAAGAAAAAGCTAAAAAAGTGTTTTGGACAAGCATATTTTCTTTTGGATCTTTCACGAGCATATGTCATGTAGTACTGCATGTAAAAATGTTTGTGTGCATGGAGAAAAGCTCGTATTATGAAAATACTGCTTTTTAAAAAATTGTGTGCCGAAACATCTGTGTTCTGAGCGAAGTGCAACTATTGTTTAATATGTAGAATGTAGTTTGAAGTTGATTTTATTTATCTTAAATGTGCCTGAAAGCTGCAGAAAGTCCTCATGAGACTGGAACCAAATGTGACTCCTGTCATTATGTAATCTCACAAATGTTGGTTTGAGATGCTCAGTCAGCTGTTCTTTACTTCTGTTGCAGCAAACAGGTTCATGCAGTTGTGTTGGAAGTGGCCTGTATTAATAATACACACTACTTAGTGTTCTTCAAACTGTTCTATAAATCTACAGTGCTTGTATTTACAATGTTGGAGACAAATACAGAACTCACTTTCTTCTCTTATTGACTGACATAAGAGAGATCTGGTCTTTGAAATGAGATGCGGATGTTATGCTGTACTTGTCAGAAGTACTTTTTGCATTATGAACAAAACTACAAAGTATTAGACATTCCAAAGACATCGAATTTTAATACTACACCAAATGAAGCTGTAGCTGTGTCAAGAACTTAGGTTTCATTTGTCAGAGGGATTTAAAAAAAAAGGATATTTGTAATTTATTTATTGTTACAAACAGATTACAGTGTTAGCCTTTTCAGTTGTTACGCAATCTCTAAATCCTGATCAAGTTTTGCGACTAAGTGTTGGATTGACTTACCAGAATGGGCACTGTGTGCTCTCTGTTCTTAAGTCTCAAGTCTTGCCTGGAGCTCTAGTGCTGATCTATAAGAACAGATTCAAAGTGAGAATTTGTAATACTACTTGGCTATATAGGGCTTGAAGCTTATATTTTATATGTAAGCTTATAAATTATTTTTCTCTGGTTTGTTACTTGGACCTAAAATGATTACTTCTTGGACTGAGAACTAAGTGCAGCAAATGCAGTAGCAAAGTTCCTCTTTTTTTCTCAGTAGGAAAGCTAACAAGTTTTCCAAAGGGAAATCTCTGACGTTTCCAACTTCTAAATAATTATGCATACCAACACCTTGGAGTTTATGGCAAAAGTACTAAACTGGTAAATCTTAATATGGTGGGGAACCTGACTTTTGCGAGTAATAAGGTGCAGTAAAGTCTTCTGCAGATTTTTATTTTTGCATAAGTGGATAAAAGACTGCATTTGTCTTTATTTGTGGAAATACTGTCTAGATAAACTGATGTCTTTCATGGCTTCCTTAGATCTGTAGACCTCTAGAACTTGTGTGTCATAAGTGACCGGAGTAACGCGGGACAACAGAGTAAAGCAAACTGTCCGAGTGTCTTAGTTTTGAGTTTCCTGTCGCTTTGCTGTTGAACATGTACAACCAAAGTGTGAACTGTTTGTGCTGATCCTATGGCCCTGTAGAAGGACAGTGAAAACTTAAAATGCAGTAAGGTTCAGTCTTCCCGGTTGCATTTCTGGCTACCTTACTGTGTTTTCATAATACTGACTTTTTTGCATAGCTTTCAGAGAATGCAAAACCATGTGGAAGATAGTAATCCTATGGCAGGTTGTTGGATGATCCCATGCAGTCATGTTGTCCCGCTGTTGATTTTTTTTTTTTAGACTGGAAGTCATAGCTGCCCTAATGGTTTCATCCAAGATTTGTCACCTCTGATGAAGTGTTCTGCTAACAAGATAAGCTGAGCCTGGACACCTAAACTCGCTCTGAATGATGCCTTGCAGATCCTGTTAATGCCAGTGATCTCTAGATAAAATTGTGTAAAGCAATATTGGAAGAAATGTTATTATAAAACCCAGTATAGTTAGTTGAAATCAATGGGAAGTGAACCAGTTTCACTGATTTAAGAACTTCAGCTTGGTTCTTCCAGTCTCCACTCCAGAGCATTGTGTTCAGACAGCCTTTTTAGTGTTTGAGTGTTCAGATAAAATCATAGCCTCTCTACTGAAGTAGTTAACTTAAGCTTTAAAAGTTTTTCTTTTCTAGTTAATTTATGAAAAAAAAACCCAACATGTTCTGACTGGGTTATATTTGGAGTAGCTGAAATCACAAATTCTGTAAACTTGCCCTGATGAGCAAGAGTAACCCTTAACTAGAGAAGTTACTTTTATGTAACATGGAAAACATTGCATTTTTTTTTTTAGGAGACAGAAGTAGTAAGGCTTGTACTTGAATTGTAGGTCCTTCCTGGCACCAAGAAGCTTCAGTAGTTCATTTCAGACCTCCTGGGAGCTGCTTCTCAGCCCTGTGGGAAGAGCAGGGGGAGCTCACGCTTCAAGTGCATGGTTATACAACATGATGCTTTTATTAGTGAAGTGGATGGCTTGTTGTATCCTTTGACCAATGGTAATAAGCATCCTTCCACGTGACTGCAGAAGTCTTAGCGTAAATAGTGGATTACTGAAGTTAGGAAGCCCTTCAGCTAGCCTTGTAATTAAATTGACCCTTTGTTCCTGGGGTGGAAACCTAGGGTTTTTTGAGTGTTTCTTCTACTCTGTGACCTATTGGGGAAGAGAAGTGTGATCCACTTGTGGAACTTGCATGGAATCAAAGAAGACAAGTTAGTACTGAAATATTTTGTCTGATAAAACAGAAGCTGTATTTTGAATCCACTGTGCATTGCTTTTTTTTTCTTTTGAAAGTAATGTAAAATAAATTTGTCACTGGTGCTTGGGGTATACTAGGTTTATCATGAAACAGTGTGGTTTATTAGAGTGTAACTAGTTGCAAAACCATTATTCTGCATTGGAAAGCATGTGGAATACATGAGGCATATTACAAAGAGAAAAAGCTGGTCTGTCTGTAGGAGGAAGTGGATTAAAATACACAATGTGGAATGTTGAAAGGTCAGGTCTAAGCACGGACAAAGAAAAGAATACAAAATGGAGTATGATGCTTGTGCATAAAGCATACAGCAAGTTATTTTAGTTAAAATGAAAAAAATGCTTTGGAGAGTTCAGGTGTTGGATTTGGAAGGAATTAGGACTTGATAGTGCTAGACTTAGGAATCTTGCGTTGTGAAATGAGCTCTTGTTTTGCAAATGCAAATAGCAGAATTGACGGGATATCCACTGATTAGTGGGTGCAGCATTCAGAATTACAGGCGGATCTGTCACAATTTCAGAGGTTAAATTCTTTGCTTTACTAGGCTTCTCATATATCACAGTAGCAGGGCTGTCTTGTTCACTGAAGATTGAATAATCCTGTCTTCCAGTGCATAGGAAACTGCGATTTGTAAAGCGCAAGCTTGCTACTTTAGTATCAGTAAAAAAAACCTGTTCTAGCTGACAACTATCAAAGGTAGTTGTATCACACTCCTTCCCCCACCCCTGTCATGAAGTGTAAAGGTTCTTTGAGATCTTCACTGTAAAGTTGACTTCCATTCCAGCAGCTGGACCAGCGTAGTTTGCATACATAGTAGCAAAAGATTATTTTTTTTTTTTTATTTTAGCCATCTAATCTGTAGCTAGTCAAAAGCAGAAACTAAACTAGTTTATCTAAACTTGGACAGCACAAGATTAATGCTTAAACTTGCTTGCAGGAGTTGAAAACCGGTTTCTGTTGCCATTAGTTGGTTGGAAGGGAAAACAGAGATGCTGTTATTTTTGGATATGCAAAACAGTTTTGATTTTATTTCTTGCAAACTATAGGACTCCAAGCCCCCTGATACTTGATCAGAACTACATAAACACCAAAAATCAAGTAATCAAAGCAGAGAGGAGGGTACTGAAGGAGTTGGGATTTTGTGTTCATGTCTGTAAAGTTGTTCCATTCCAGCAGCTGGACCAGCGTAGTTTGCATACATAGTAGCAAAAGATTATTTTTTTTATTTTAGCCATCTAATCTGTAGCTAGTCAAAAGCAGAAACTAAACTAGTTTATCTAAACTTGGACAGCACAAGATTAATGCTTAAACTTGCTTGCAGGAGTTGAAAACCGGTTTCTGTTGCCATTAGTTGGTTGGAAGGGAAAACAGAGATGCTGTTATTTTTGGATATGCAAAACAGTTTTGATTTTATTTCTTGCAAACTATAGGACTCCAAGCCCGTAGCTAGTCAAAAGCAGAAACTAAACTAGTTTATCTAAACTTGGACAGCACAAGATTAATGCTTAAACTTGCTTGCAGGAGTTGAAAACCGGTTTCTGTTGCCATTAGTTGGTTGGAAGGGAAAACAGAGATGCTGTTATTTTTGGATATGCAAAACAGTTTTGATTTTATTTCTTGCAAACTATAGGACTCCAAGCCCCCTGATACTTGATCAGAACTACATAAACACCAAAAATCAAGTAATCAAAGCAGAGAGGAGGGTACTGAAGGAGTTGGGATTTTGTGTTCATGTCAAGCATCCACATAAGGTGAGTTATCAAAAATAATATAATTGTAAATATTATTCCACCTTGATGCCATCATTGTGAGCTGTGGGATGAGAAATGCAGGTGTAAAAATGGCCTGATTTCTTCTCTTCATTCTGTAGTAGTTACCATGAATGTTTTTGCCAGAGTGCTTGGGCAAATAGTCATATTGATTTCAGTAGAAATTGCTTCCTTGGGAAAAGTTAAAGGTGACTGTTTTTTTAAAATCATAGAAAAGTAGTAAAATAAAGAATTGTCTGAACATGATTGGATGACATGTGAGCTTACAGTGTATGCTTAGAAAAGGAGGAGAGACTATTGTTTTGGAATGCTGTTTGGCTATACGTAGTTACTTCCTTACTTGCTTTATATGTTAAAACTGAGGTTTTTTTTTTCCCCCCCTTATTCCTCAGATCATTGTTATGTATTTACAAGTCTTAGAATGTGAACGTAATCAAACCCTCGTACAGACAGCCTGGTAAGTTGTTATTTTCCATTCATTTCCTAGCCAGGAAAATAGTAGCAGAAATAACAAGCCTGACGATCCATATGCAAAGCAATGAGATGTAAGTTATTACACAAATATATACTTTTAAAATATTTTAGTGCTTGTTTCTGCTTACTATTTTCATGGCTTGATTCCACTATAGTAATGGAGAACTCAATTTAACTTTGTTCTTTTTTCTACTCTTTAATTAAAGGGTAGTCCATGATGGTAAGTCATAGAGCTCTGCCCTCTGCACCTCAGCCCATGACCTGGGGATGGCCTGTTTGGCTGCCCTTCTCTCCAGCCAACCCAGTGCAAGCTCTCATCCGAGATTCACTGAAGTGGTCCATATCCATCGGGCAGCATCTTCTAGTTCTGTCTGGGTGTCGAAAGGATTTGTATATTTGCTTTTAGAAGTAACTGTTAAAAATGTTTCTAAATGTATTTGTTGCCTAGCTACTGTGTACTGTAGTGTATTTAAAGGACACATGGGGTAGACTTTTTGCCAACATTTATTTAGTTGATTCAGCATTTGGCTAAACTTGAGTTTAAAAAAAAAAAAGAAAAAATTACAGTGCATGCAGCATGTTCACTTAGAAGCCATACCGGGCATGGTTTTCTATAGAGTCAATACTTAACTGACTGCTGTTCGTTTCTTTCCTGTAGCTCAATCACTTAGAAATCAATGGAGGTGTCTGCTGTTTAAATGTCTCTATCTCTTGGCATGTATTGCTTGGCAGTGCCACCGTGGTGGAAGAATAGTAGCTTAGTGAAGTGGGAGACCCATTACTAACTTGCAGGTCTTTTTCCAACACTCAGTGAGCAAACTGGATGCTTCTCTCTCTGGATGAAGTTAATGTGACTCAAGGCACACGTAGGATTTAAATGCAATGTTTTATGAACTTTATAGGTTGCATCTAGCCTCTGGAAAATGGTAGGTTAAAACTATACCATGCTTTCATGCTTGCATTTGAGTTTTAAGCATATTGATTTTTAAATACAAGAATATTGGTGTTTAAAGCAAACAGCTGGACAGATAAAAAGTACTTGCTAGATTGTTAACTCAATGGACACTTCACGGTATAACTTAACGTACCTACCTAGGAAGTAGCCATTACATTACTATCACTTGCATTGGGGTTTCAAAACAATGGCAATGGTGCAAACTTTGTTACAGAAGTAACAAATGTAAACATCAAATACAATAATTTGAAAGGAACCAAGTGTTTAATATAATAACAGAAAAAATAATAAAGTCAATTGAGTCTCCAGTATTGTTACCCTCTAAATAAAAAGATGTAAACCTGAGAGCCAACCCTTCATCTTTTTTTTTCCTTTTTTTTTTTTTTTTTTTAGGAATTACATGAATGACAGCCTTCGAACAAATGTGTTTGTTCGCTTTCAGCCAGAGACTATAGCATGTGCTTGCATTTATCTCGCTGCTAGAGCTCTGCAGGTGAGCATTTGTCTGTCTTCAGTTAGCATTGTCTTGTATTGCTAGTAATTCGGTTTCAAGAAAATTAATGAAAATATTTAAAGCAAAAGCCTGGTCTGTAATCTCTACTATTCAGCATTCGGTTGTTTTATTTTCAGATTCCACTACCTACCCGTCCTCACTGGTTCTTGCTCTTTGGCACCACGGAAGAGGAGATTCAGGAGATATGCTTAACAACTCTTAAGCTCTATACCAGAAAGAAGGTAACTTTGAGGTGTTTGTTTTTTCTATTCAGTGTTCAGCGCAGCTTGAGCTGTCTCATGGCTGTCTTAAGCATGTTTGGGAACACCTGCATACAAATCCACTAATCGGAAAGGCTCCACTTTGTGGCTTCTCTAAGGGGAGTGAGAGCAAATTATGGTAGTTAGTCACATTACTGGACAGATGATTAAAAGATAATTGAGTATTTTTCAGAAATGAGAAGAAAATATGAATTCCATTAGTTCAGCTTCTTACCACATTGTTACTTTAACAGCCCAATTATGAATTCCTGGATAAAGAAGTAGAAAAGAGGAAAATGGCACTACAGGAAGCTAAACTGAAGGCAAAAGGCTTAAATCCGGATGGAACTCCAGCACTCTCAACACTGGGTGGCTTTTCTCCTGCATCCAAACCATGTAAGTTTGTTTTCTGAACAGAAACTTGCATAATAGTGTTTGATAAGTCTTCTAAATCCGTGTCCCAAGGTGTTAAAAAAAAAAAGTAGGTTTGCTTCTTGAGCTGCTAGACAATTTAGGATTTCTCACAGAACTAAGCAGCAAGACAAATCTTTCTTTTTTTAAAACACAAATTTTAAAACCAGTTCCAATACCTTGAAATAGTAGGCTAGAGGGAAACGGGATGCCTTACTCCATACTTCCGCAGATTGGAGAGTGATATATTAATAATACGCACCCTTGAGATAATTATGTTATGAAAATGTCTAGACCCAGGAGTTTGCTGTATATTACTGTGTTGTGAAGAGAGACTCTCTGGATTTAATTGGGGGGGGGGTGTGTGTGTGTGTCTCAATAGCCTTCATGGTTCCTTCTGCAGCAGGTATCTGATAATTGCTTTCTTTGCTTTTCTTTAATGTACTTGGCAGCTGTTCAAGTGCAGTGAAGGAAGACGGCTTGTGGTCAGGAAATGGTGAAGGGAAGGTCACAGTGCTGTCTTGCCATTAACATGAATAAATTGCTGTCATGCATATCTTGAACCTGCCAATAAATCTGTCTGAACTCTAATGATACAAAGAACAGACAGTTTTGTCTTGGTGCTTCTACCTCTTAATGCTGCTATTGATCTGTAAACTACCAACAAAATTTAAAGGCTGTCACGAGCATTGGTCCAGTGATGGTGGGTAGAGTAGAAGGCACAGGCCTTTGTTACATGGCCTCTTAAAGAACTTAAGAACATATTCTGAGAAAGCACTATTTGTAGCAGTTATTTCTCCTTCAGAACAATACATCTGACTTTCCAGGGGTCTTTGAGCTGGCAAGTGTAAATTTCTCACTAAACAATGAAAGCTTTTTCTTATTTCTCTGAAGTGGAAGCCTAGGTTAGAAAAGTTTGAGTGAAAGCAGGATCTCTGGGTGGGGTTTTGGAAGACTTCTTACTAGCTGACAAACTGAGGGAAAGCTTCTGATAGAATTCTGCCTTTCTCTGTTTGTACATTAAACCTGTGAACCCTATTGAGTTAGGAAGCTGCGGTGTAAGGCATAATGCAGCACCTCTGCCTTACTGTCAGCAGGCCAGATAGAAATGCATCGTTCTTGCATAGTAGCCCTTCCGTGAAAAGGTGAATCCATCTCTGGGCTATATCAGCTGACTGTAGAGACAGACTGGCTTCTAAACTAAATAAGTTTTTTGTTACTCATTATATTTGTGCGACTAATATAAAACGGAAATCTGTAATTTTGCTCTTCAGTCTTAATTTCTAATACTATAGAAAGAATTAACTGTCAAGGTGACAATTTAAGTTATGTGTTTGTGAGCCATAAGGGCAGCTTTTATTTTGTGCCACTTGGGCCCTGGTGGACGAAATCTCAAATGAGCCTGGCTGCTTGGCTTGAAGGTCACAGTGGTGTTCTTCCCCCACCCCCACCCCCCGCAGGCAGCTGGCTTTAAACTATGCGTCTCCCCACAGGCATCTCACTCCAATGTTCCCTTCTAGGAGTGCACTATAAATGGAAAGATGGAATGAAATAGTAGCTCTTGAGTTCGTATTTACATTTTGTGTAAATACTGGTAAAAGTATATAAAGGATACAATATGTTTATTACAAAGTCTATGAATAAAATACCTAATTTTGAATTTAAATTTGATTGTTAGCTTCCCCGAGAGAAGTAAAAACTGAAGAGAAGACTCCAGTATCTGTGAATACCAAAACCATTAAAAAAGAGCCAGAGGAGAGGCAGCAAGCTTCAAAGAGCCCTTACAATGGGTAGGTAAAAATATCTTCCTGATGAAGAGAAGACTTCGGTAAAAACAGTTTCTTCAACTGAAGTACAGTGAACTACTTTTGAGCTACTTCATGGAAGTAACGAGTACCTCAGAAGTGTAATCCTTTCTTTTCCCTCCCCTCCCCCAAGCATGAGAAAAGAAAGCAAGAGAAGTAGAAGCAGCAGAAGTGCTAGTCGATCTAGGTCAAGAACAAAGTCAAGGTCTCGATCTCACACTCCTAGGCGGCAGTAAGTAGTGGATTTCTGTTTGGTTGGTGGGGGTTGTGGGGAAGGGGCAGGGTTTTTCAGGGTGGGGGCGGGGGGTTGTCTTTTTTGTCATAATTAGTTCTCTGGGATATTTCAGCAGGGTTTTTCACTTCTAAGAAGTAGGGCCACTCCAAGTAGCTTGTAGGTGCTTAGCACAAGCTTCTAACTGCTGGCCAGCAAAAGTGTGAGACTTGGGCCTGGATTTAGGCTCTCAGTTCTTGACGTGAAGCAGTTCTGTTGGTAACTGTGCCGTTAATAGTTCAAGCTGTAAAAGCTTTGCTGTAAAATGGAAGCTTAAGACTATTATAACTGCACATGTACACGATGAGTCTATGATGGAGTGAGTGTAAGGTAGTCTTGCCCTGTTTGATGATCTTCACAAGGAATCCATTATAAATGAGAGCAGTCTCTCGGAACTCAGTCCACTTTGAAGTAGCGAGAAGTGCTGTAGAAGCTAGTTTCATGTGTTGCAGCTTTCTTCCAAATGCATGGGAGAATGTATCTTCTGTCAGTGTTGCACGATGCACTGTCTGGCTCTTCAGTACTTTGCCTCTCTTCTGTGACTGGGGAAGAGGAGGAACACTGCAGGGTGATGCAGTGATAGCTGCTGGCATTACAGATATATAGATATATATATATTTAAAGAATCTTCAGACCGACATCCAAGTTGGAAACAACCAACTTGGATCTCAATGAGGTGTTCCCCTAAGTATTGTTGACTGTCAAATCATTGAAGGAAAAAAGGCAATAACCAGTTTGCAATCTGCTGTTGAGGGGAAGATTCTTGACAAGGTCGAACAATTACGAAAGGCGCTGCATTCTGGGTTTGGTTTGGGATTTTGCTCTGATTTCTTCCAGTAACTTGGAAGTTCCTAAGCATTGATTTTTTTTTTTTTTTTTTCCCTTCCACGTGGAAGACATGTTTTAACTTTTTAACACTTTTCTGTAAGCTACAATAATAGGCGGAGCCTGTCCGGGACATACAGCTCAAGATCGAGAAGCAGGTCCCGCAGCCACAGCGGCAGGGCGCGCCCCCACCACAATAACACGGCTCGCCACACCTGAAGACCAAGCATAGCAGGGAAGAGTTGAAGAGTGCAAATAGACATGGTCACAAAAGGAAAAAATCTCGTTCACGTTCGCAGAGCAAATCCAGGGATCACTCCGATGCTGCCAAGAAGCACAGGCACGAGCGGGGACACCACAGAGACAGGCGCGAGAGATCCCGCTCCTTCGAGAGATCTCACAAAGGCAAACACCACGGTAGCGGCCGGTCAGGACACGGCAGGCACAGACGCTGAGGTTTGCACCTGCACCAGAGTCTAGTTAAGCCTGTATATAATACAGTAAGTGGACTCTTTATTTGAGAACCAAGGAACCGATTAGGATTTCATTAATTTAAACCCAATATCTGATTTTCTAAAACATGTAGAAGATTTTTCTTTTGGGAAAGAAACTGTTACCAACTTTTGCACATAATACCTTAGCAGTATCAGATTGATGGAAAACAACGATCAGGTTAAATTGTATGTATTAGTTGTGTATTGTTTATCGATGTGAGAACTGGAGAATGGATTTCTGTAAAAAAAGCAAAACGTACCTTATTTTTATACAAGTCAATTGCAGACACTTATATTTAAGTATAGCTATTTGTTTAAACGATGGTGGATACTTTCTTACACTGGTTTTAGTCTGCATGTGTTAAAAGATTTTTACAAGAAATAAAATATGAAGGTTTTTTTTTTACTGCCTGTTGGATTTCCAATATATTGAAACTAAACTTAATTTTCTTGAATGCCATCACTCTGACCATTGCAGATTAATGGGACACGTGGGATATTGATTTGCAATAGAAGCACATGAAAGGCTGGGAGAGCTTTAGAAGTTGGTGTCCTTCCTAGGGGAGGCAGCTGGAAAGCCAGGTCCACTTCTGACATGCATGCAACAGCTGGAATAAATGAGCATGGACCTCTCTGTAAAGTTTGGTGGGATGAGCGGCTGGTGGGGAAGTTGGAAGCTGTGAAAGAGCTGCACTTCACAAGCCATGGATAGGCTGCTTGTGTCCCAACTTTCCTGTCAGCTGCCTCTGGGGAGGTGGGGATTTCTTCCCTGCCTGTCTCCTGCAGCTGCTTCAGGCAGAAGCCAATGGGTTGCTGTCGTCATCTGTTCTCTTCTGTGCTAGAAGTACAAAGCAGGACAAATAAGAACATGCCTAGAGCGATCAAGTTTTGGGGGTTTTACTTCCCTTCTTTCATTACTGGTGGCAGGATGGTGGCAGTAGAAGGAAGGATTCTATTGCAAGTGTAATGCTCACACAGCTTCTAGCTGAGCTCCCAGGGGCAAATCTGCCAGCAGAGCCATCTCCCATGCCTGCTGTGCTGCTGCAGTTGGTTGAAGGGTTGCACTGACTCAGCTTGGGGAACTTGTCTGGCTTAAATACATCAGGTGTGCTCCACTGCAAAATACAGATCAGTTTGCTGCTGGAAGCTCACCTGTGTGTGCTGGGGCGGTTTCTTAGTGTCCAGCTGCTGGAACAGTACCCTGTGCCACTGTACAACCCAAAGCTGTGGCCTGGCATGGGACAGCTGTGGGGTGGAGTTGCAAGTAAAGGAGAGGTGAAATGGGTGAGGAGGAATTTGATTTGATTCTTTCAGGTGCTGCTCAGGTAGTAACAAAATCTTAACCCTAAAGATGCTTGCTGTCCTTGCAAGCTTTAGATGCTATCCTGGAGTCCCTTTGGGTGTGAAGACTGCTAATGCAGCATAAAAAGACCTTTGCTCTCCTGCAATGCTTCTCAAATCTAACTGCTCTGGCTGAAGGTGACCTGGCTGGGTACATGCACCTGCAGCATGGCAGAGGGCAAAGCCTGAGGCCAAACAAGCTGGTAACGGACTGAAACGGATCTGGCATCCTCTGCTACTGCAGGAGCAAGTGCCAGTCTCTGGCCACAAATTCTGCAGACCTCGAAAAGGAAAGAAAAAAAATGTGGTTGAGCAAAAGCTTCACTGGAACTGGTACATTCTCATAAGCAGCTACCCAGCATCCTGCCAGGCCCGATCTGCATCTGTTCTCTAGAAATACATGAAGGAAATTTTTTTTTTTTTTTTTAAAAGAGGGGAAAGATAAATGTCTTCCTCTGTTTCTTGGTTACCTCTGTGTGTTTTTTTGATCTGCAGTAACTATTTCGTGTGTTTGTTGCTTTCAGGAAAAGCTATTTGTTGCTATGGAAATTAAGGTAGCTTTTTTCCCTAGATACAAGTATTTAGATAGTCTAGGGCAGTGATAAAAACCCAGTTTTGAAGTAGCAGCACAATTGGCTCAAGCTCTGTTGAACGTCAGAGTTTGTGTGTCGGAGTGAAACATGAAGAGGACTCAGCGTCTATATTTGTGTTTATGCATAAGCACTAATTACCCTTCTGTGCTTCCAGTGCCCCTTGCTCCAGAGCTGAAGAAGAGAAGTTAACTTCCATGTAAAGCTGGAACATCTGGTGATGTGAAACATCTAGACACCATCTGCTCCAGGTTGCTTAGACCGTGAGCTTGCAGTCAGCTAGCAAGAAGTTCAGTGTTTGTTCTTCCATGGACAAAAAAAGCTGTCTTCAGCTTTATGGATGGTGACCTTAACCATGCAACATCCTTGCCAACAACAGGCCATAAAATAAATGGGTTTGGTTACTGAAACAAAAGCAGCAGGTCTTTCTCGAAGCCCAAGTGTGTCAGGTCAGTGCTGTAAAGGAGAGAAGATGTGCTGGGGGTGTGAGTGACAAGAAGCACAAACTGGGGAGTGAGTTGTTTGTTTCACTGGCTGGGTCCCCTCAGGCGGTAGTGTGTGGTCCTTCAATAGGAGGTGGAGCAGTCTGAAAGCAGGATAACAGTCCTGAATGGCTGTAGCCTTGTTCATGTGCCATTACCTGGAGGGCTTGTCAAGAAGAAAGCTTCTGGGCGAGCAACAGCTTAAATACTTAAATACATGGCAGTATGGTTACAGCTGGTGACCAGGCTGTACCCAGGAGCCAGCTGCACACACAGCTGGGGCTGCGAGCTGCCTGAGCCGCTGGGCACAACTGGGAGCACCCAGGCTCTGACCTGGCTCCAGCTGAGCCACACCTGAGTAAGAGCTTCCCCCTCCTTTGCCTTATCCCATGGCCATGCTGTGAATTCCTCTGTCTCTTTGGCTTGATTGGACAGGAAGAGACCTGCTCTCCCAAACTTCCTGTGCCGTCGGTTACAGCAGGGGACAAAAGCAGTGACAAAGCAAACATGCCAGCTTGCTCGCAGCAGTCACACGTATGTGACGCGGGTCGTGCTGGGAGGCGATGTGACCAGCTGAGGAACTGAGTGACATGCTGGGAGCAGATTGGCATCAGGGCCTCGCTCTTCTGTGTCATACGCCAGTGCTAGGTCCAGCACAGTAACCATCAACTATACCATGAAACATCAGCCAAAGCCTATTTTAAGGGAGGTGCTGCATTATTTTTACAACTAGATTTCGTACGTCTCTCCTGAGACTTTGAAGTGTCCTTATGTGTGCATTAAACTCTAAATCACAAAAATTAATCCTTTGAAAGCACTGTTTGACCTTTAAGCATCTGTATCGACCTCCAGGAGTCACTTGAGACTGACTTGAGGCTACACTGACATACCTCAGTAGTTGAGAAGTACTTTTCTTCTTATTTTTAAATTCTTCAGCGTCTTCCATGTGCTTGAGTCACTTACGGGAACCCTTCATCAGCTGAAACTTACCTCTGAAGGATGTGGTGGCTTTGGTGACCCGCCATTGACATCCAAATGTAGAAGTGCCCAAGGCAGCAGTGCTTCACTGCAGCTCCCGCCCAGAGCCTGCAGCTCTGCCTTTGCTACGGACCCAGGTGGCCACGCCAGGCGGTGGAAATAGCAGACAAACATATTTGAGAAACAAGCCGGAGTTTTGAGCACCCTGCACAGATCTTTTGTTTCTGACCAAGCTCATTGTCGTCTGTACAGGCTTAATCTGCACAGCAGTATGTGACACGCTTGTACAGTGAGACACTGTGTTCAAACATTTACCCTTCAGAGTGGAAATGCTTTTACGGGAAAACCAGACCCTGTAATACCCTACTGCAACGCTGTTTCTAACTGAAATGCCATGTGCTGGTGGGAATGCAATGGCTTTCCTGGCTCGGGCTGTACTGCAGTACAGCACCCGTTTCCCTCTGTCCCATCCCTTTATGCTTGATTTACCGTGCTTGTTCTCTCACCAGCACGGATGGAAGTACTGGGATGTCAAAGAAGCCAGTGATGGAGCATGCAGATGAAGTGCAATGAAAGATATTTCCAGTATCTTCAGCGATGGCTGTCTCCAGTGCACAGCCTGCTGCTGCTGCCAGCAGGCAGGAAGGTTGCTCGGGCTGCGCCGTCAAACCCAGATGGCCACAGGCAAGTATTTGCTTAATGCCAACAGAGCGGACACTGTCCGGCGAAGTGGCAGGTAGCAACCAGAGTGAAACAGGAACAGGAGCTACGCATTGCCCTGAGCCACATCCCCGTGGCTTGGACACATCTGAAAAAAAAAATGCTCTAACAGCAAGCGGCTGTGAAAGCCTCAAGCCGCCCAGTCTGATCTGCAACCCAAAGTGAAAGGAGACCATGGGAGGTCTGTCGGTAAACAAAGCAGGGTGTTAAGAGGAGCTTGGCAGGTAGGAGCTCAGGCCTGGTGGTGACATCTGCCAGCGTCTGGGACCAAGCATGGCACCTGCGGCGCCTGCCCCCACTGCAGTGTGCTGCAATGGGGATGGTTTCCTGGGAAATACAGAGTATTCCGGCATCGCCTGACGCTGCAGCCCCTGTTAGAAATACTGTGATGGAAATAAGGTGCTGCCACTGAACTTTGAACACCTGAGACCCCTAGAGAGACCCACAGGAACTGGTGGGAAATGTTCCAGCCGACCAGTTCTCAGGCACAGGGGTTTGGCTGGCTTGGTCTCACCCTCAGAATTGCTTTTCCTCAGAAAAAGGATTTTGTTAAAATGTTTTGACTAATTTTTCAACAAAATATTGCAAATATTTCAAGTGAGTAAATTCAAACTGTTGTGACTGTCCTTCACTTTCAGCTTTGTTACAGACCTTGGAAGGATGTACATGGACCAAAAGCTTTGGATGGTTTGGGAAGAAGAAAAATAGCGAACAATCTAAGAATATTCTTGATGGAAATTGGCCCAACAAGTACTCATCAGGGCTTTAGCTGCCCCCAAAAACCACAGGTTAGTGACAGCGGGTGCAGCACAGCATGTCTTGCGCGCTGCTGTTAATGACAGCAATAGGGGTCCCTTTTCCGGGAAATCTTTCCCCAGTCACTGGTTCTGCCAGGACGTGTTTGTGAAATCCATCATTTCACATCAGCCCCATCTGCAAGCCGCCAAGTCCATGGCTCTCCTGTCTGTTCTCCTTGTTGCTCTCCCCCTTCCAAAGCACAAGCTTGTTGCTTCCAAGCTCTTTGGGGCAGGAATCAAACCTGCTATGGCCACCCTGTGCTCCCCTTGCTGCAGCAGGGCTGGCATGCACCCACGCAGTGCTTGGGTGTTGTCACAGCGGAGCACCCACAATTACACCCCGCTTAGGAAAAAACACTTCTGTAAAGGAAACAGCTTTCCATTCCTATCTCCTGCCTGGCCACAGCCCAGCGGGGCATTTTGGGAAAAAAAAAAAAGTCGTTAAAATTAGAAAAGCTGGCCCGAAAAAAAAGTCTTCTTATTCCAGCAGAAGGGGAAAAAATTGCAAAAATTACCATTTTTGTCCCAGGAAAGAGAAGCCCTCTTCACAGCTTTGCTGGAGAGGACAAGGGGCTCACGAGCACCTCTGCAGATGTCCTCCGGTTCGCCTCAGTCCCCCAGAGCAGCCCCTCTGCCTGGCTGGGCCCACCCCTGGGATGCTGTGCACCCATCGGCTCCGAGGGCTGCTGCTGGCTGCTCCTGCTGCTATTCTGGGTTTTATTCTGTAGGTGGAAGTATTGCAAAGCGGACACGAGCGTCCTCCTGCGTGCACACACTCATGCATGCATGCATGCATGCATGCACACACACACACGTGCACACACAGGCTCTGCTGAAGCTGGGCTTGTGCTGCTGAATGCACCGAAACGGACCAGAAGCAAAGGAGGGGGCGGGTGCCCTGCCCCGGGGGCAGGGGCAGCTGAGGCCTGCGGGTGACACAGGCAGAGCAGCCCCATCGGTCGGGGTCAAACACTCAGATGAGCACCCGACTTCAAGCTGCTGGGAGCAGCGGAGCTGTTGATGGGTGGGCAGCCTTGAGGAAGGGCGTCAACCACCAGACGTGTGAGATACCCCAGTATCAACCAGGTTAAAATCAGTGTAAAAGCATCCATGTGGAGCTCTGCAACAACTCAGGTGGACCGGCTTGAGTTACCCCTAAAAGGCCAATTGCGACCACAGCCATGGAAAGTCAATAAGTTAAAACGGGGTTTACGCGCCGCAGCCAGGCTCATTCAGGCTGTAGTACACGAGAAAACCTCCACATGAAGCTAATGAAGATCGACTTAATTGCGCTGGTGGACATCTCTCAGATAAATATATTTTTAAAGTGGTTTGAAGCAGGAGGCGATGGATTTAGGTTGCTTTGAGCCACAGTGGTTTAAAAGCTGTCCCAGGTTGCAGGAGACAAGAGACAGAAAAGCCCTACAAGGCGTCTCCGTATCTCACGGCCCTGCTCAGCTGCCATTCCCAGCGTGGTTTTCCTGAGCACTAAAAGGTTTGTTATCTCCAAAGGGGTGGTACGCACATCTTGCTGCCCCACGAGTTCCCCTAATGATTGCTCTGTTCAGCTAATTGAAAACCTAGATCCCACCGTACCTAATGCCTCCCCGTGCCTGGCACTTGCACCCTGCTCCCCGGGACTGTGCGGGTGTCCCCGTGCAGGGGTATGTCTTAGCACAGGAGGAGAGTTTCAGAAACACAGGCAGATGGCTAATCTGTTTTCCAAATAATATTAATATCCACTCTCAAAGGGTGTCTCAAAGCAGCCAGTCACAGCAGGGCCACGGGCTTCCTGAGGGGACCAGAGGAGCTTCACTGGTCACAGCACGGTGGCATCGGGAAGCTATTACTGCCTGCTAAAACCCCAACAGGACTGTGCCCTCCCCAGGATTTAAGGGAAGAATTTCATTTGATGATGAAAATGAGAGTTTACTCAGAGCCAAACCATTTTCCCTGCATGCAGAGTTTCCTCGCAGTTAAATGAGAAGTGCAGAAAGCCAGATAAAGATACCAGATATAAGACGAATACATTTCTTGGTGTAGGCTTAATGCCTTGGGGGGGCAGGGGCAGGTCCTCCCCAAAGAGAAATGGGCAGCAGGGCTGGCAGCTCCTGCCTGACTTTCCCGCTGTGCCCTGAACACTCTGGGTGCTCCCTGGCACTTTTTCTTGGGGTCCTGGGAAAGGGCATTTTCAGCCACCCTCTGAAGAGCAGGGGGTTTCGCGCCAGCTGAGCGGGGGCTCCTGGTCACCACTGACTTGGCACCCAGTGGCTGCTGCCCCATTTCCGGTGGAACCCCCCACCCAAAGCCTAATGCAAGGTAAAGTCATCGTAACAGTCAGGTTTTGGATCTCTCGCACAATGGAGCAAACAGCAGGGGAAGGGGTATGGAGGCACAGGGGCGTTTCAAAAGCTGCTTTCCAGGGGAC